GGGGACCTGCGTTGCAGGTGTTGGGGATCCCCGTTTTGCTTGCTGCCAGGATCATAAATCAGAGAAATTTCAGGCGGCCCTGGGCTGGCCTCCAAGTCCTTCCGGAGCATGCCTGTGTTGTCTGTCGAGCTTTCGCTCAAGTGAAACACTCCCCGTGGGTGGCCACGGCCCTGTATGTCACAGACTGTTGCTCGGTGACACGGTGTTTGTCATGGCGGACCGAGTCTGCTCTGTCCTGCATGGGCCCCCCCACAAGCCAGACGGTAAACGCAGGGCAGGAAAGGCAGGGAGCACTGGGGTCTGATCGCATTTCCAGGTAACGGGAACTAATGCTACAAACTTCAAATTACATTCTAAGTAAGTGTTTATGCCCACCCCATCCCCTAAGGGGGCAGAGGGGTCGCACCTCCACATGTCTCTTTGTGGACTGCGACTGCCTTTTTAGGTGTAGATGAGACTTTTACATGAAGGGTGTAGTGTTGCCTACAGACCAGTGGAACTTTCTGGTCTGGGGGGAGGGCAGAGGCTCTCCCTCTCCCCAGACAGCTCTGCTGAGAGGGTGGGCACAGCACAGGACCCTGACCCTGCACCCGACCCTGCGCCCGAACCTGATGCTGTGCCCAAACCCAACCCTGCGCCCGACCCTGACCCTGCGCCTGACCCTGACCCTGACCCTGCGCCTGACTCTGACCAGACCACAACTGGGTCAGGTTGCAGTCTGCATCTTGTCTTTTAAAAAGAAGTTTGATTGTCCTCAGGAAATTTCAATTTTAAAGTAGTAACACAGAGACAGGTCAGAATACAGGATTTCTATTATTTCTTTACAAACCATAATTAACAGAAAGCACTAATTAAAGGGACCTCTGGTGGTTCCTCAGAGAGGGCAGCAGGGCAGAGAGGAGGATGCAGTTTCCACCGGTGGGGGCTCACAGTCGGGGTCCCCCAAGAGGCGGCGAGCTGGTGTGTGTCCCCTCCCGGCGGGCATTTCCGGGAGGAGCCTCTGGTTTTGTCCCAGATGGACGGGCATGGCCTCGTTGTGTCCGGCCTGGAGGGAGACCCCAGGGGCCGGGGCTTGCCCCCCACAGTCCGCAGAGCAGGGGCCGTGCGCTCCCGGCACCCTCATCTCATCGTGAGCCCGCGGCTTGTGTTAGTGAGATGACCTGCCCCAACCCTGCGACGTGGGGCCTGCCCGCCGTTCCTTCCCGTGTCTCAGATTAGGAAGATGAGGCGGGAGAAGGCACGCAGCTTGCCCAGGGTCACAGGACGGCTGCTCCTTCAGACCCCAGCCCAACAGAAGCTACCAGAGCAGACCCTGAGATGGGGGGCTGGTCCCATAGGAACCTCAGTCACGCGAGCTCGCGCCTCAGCAGCGGCCCGGCCACAGGGAGGCGCAAATGGCAGGTGAAATTCTCTTTGGACGCGTGGGAAGCCGGGGGGCACGGGTGGGCTGTGAATGGCAGCTTCCCTCGGAGCCTCGACTGCGCAGGAAACCACACCAACAACTGCACTGCTGACCAGACAGACAGACGGCCGGCGCTCCACCTCGCGCTCCCAGGAAGCTGACCCCGGCGGAGCACGACCGCGGGGCCCCTCTTCTCCCTCAGTCCTGCCGCTGACTCCGTCCCCTCCAGACGACCCCGGCATATCTGCGGCGCCTCACCCAGAGGCCCCCGCCCACCAGCTCCCATCCCCCCGAAACACCCCACAGACGTCGTGGGAGCTCTGGGCTGGGCCACGAGTGCGGGGGGCTCAGGGCCCTGCTGGTCCTACTCCGCAGTCCTTCCTGGCGCCTGGGACTGATTCGTGCGCGTAGCCAGAGCTGAGCGGCTTGGCACTCGCTAGTCATGGGCCAGGCGGTGCTGAGGGCGAGTTCTGAGCCCGTGATCTTCCTCAGTCCTCCCAGGACCACGGGCTTGGTTTCACAGATGAGGAAACCGGGACTCAGAGAGGCTAGGTGCTTTGTCCGCGGTCACACAGCCCGTAGGTGCCGAAGCCAGGACCGGAGTGAGGCACTGTCCCTCAGGTGCTGGAACAGGGGAGTTATTTCCTGGAATCCAAGGAGAAGGAGAGGGCAAATGTGTCACAGCGCGGGTCTCCTGAGCCCCGGTTTCTAGGCGGAGTCTCTGCTAGGACAGCCCTGAAGACCCCGCTGTGCACGTCTGCCCGGCATCCGGCCGCCTCCCGGCCCTCGGAAAGCCCAGAACAGCACCCTGGCTGGGAAAGGCGGGAAAGAGAGCTGCGGGCAGCCGCCCACAGAGGCAGGGGCCTCACAGACCTCAAATGCACAGTGACTTCAAACCCAAGAACCCACTTCCAACCTAACCCTCCTGTCAGTAAACCCGTCATCACTTCTGCCTCCAGACAGTCCTTGTCTCAGCGGCTCGTGTGCTCATCATGCAGAAACGGGATAGCTGTCAGTCCGACGCCAAGGTCCACCCGAGCAGGGGCGCCTACCTTTACCGGTATGTAAGGGCGTGACGGAAGAGGCCTGGCCTCTCTGTGGAGGCCGTGGGCCTCCTCGACTCGGAGACGCTCCAGCTCTGCAGGTGAGGGGCCCTCCCCAAGCGGTGCCCTCACTCTAGGCCACACTCGGGTGACGGCCACACTCTCGGGGGGCCACTCTCGAACCAAGGTGCCTGGGGAGGGGGGGTTGTGCACTGCCGTTGGATACAGGCTGGGGACTGTTTCTTCTTGGAACCTTCCTTCTGTTTTTAAGAATTTCATTTTTCTAAAGAAAGACCTACAAGGAGCGCCAGCACTGAGTAACGCCGCGGAGCGCTGGGCCCCAGGTCGCAGCCCCGTGGGGCCCTGCGGCGCGTCCAGTCAGCCACGAAGTCACCTGTCAGACAAGGAGGTCTGCGTGGACGATCGCTGCCTCTTCAACTCCAAAATTCTGAGCTTTCTTTGGAAATACCTTTGAACTCGCCGAGCCCCTGAGAGTTTGTTCTGGTTTAGAGAATTTTAATTTTATTGCGCTAATATCTGCTGATGACTTTCTCTGTAGCGGGCACCACATGGTTGTCTTTCGGTAACGAGACTGGTGCTTCCATTTTTCAAGTGGACACACTCGGGCTCCGGGACCTTGCGTGGGGGCCCGCCGTACGCACTCCCCTCCACCAGCAGAGGGAAGAACGGGAATCCAGGGCTTGTGGCCATCCTCCCATCCCCCCCACACAGTCGCAGGGCGGTCACCTAGCTGGTGTGACCCTAGCTGGTGTGACGTTTGCTTCTTAGTGAATAAATCTCAACCATCCCAAACCTTCCTCCCCAAAGGCGCTCCTTCCCAGAGGACACATTCTGCGCTCTCCTGGCCGATGCCGGAGTTATCTCTATGCTTCGGTTGGAGTTACTATTTATTCTTGCAGATGAACTGTGTGAAACCGTAGCAGTTGGTGCAGAAATGTCATTTGGTATGCTTTCTCCAAAATCAAGTAACATCCCACGTGCATCCAGGGGAAAGAAGTGGTTACTAGTACCTGGTTAGAATTACCCACCGTGTCTGGGGTTGGTTGGTTGGTTTGCTTTTAAGGTTTTGAGCAAATCTGGCTGGGTTTTTTAAACAAACCCGTTGTCTGAACACCATGTGTGAGCCGGCAAACCCTGAGGACGGTGGGGGGCCCAGCAGAAGTGCAGCCTGGCTTTCTCCCTCTTCCCTTCCATGGCCCGCACGGCGGCCCTTTGTGTAAAGTTCACCTGTCTCTTCAGGATGCCCTCAGCCCTGCTCCATGAGACCCGCTGCTCTGGCGGGCGGAGGGGCCCCTCCGTGGACCTGTCCCAGACGGTATGCACTGTCTGGCTCCAGGCGCCCGAGCCGTGCCTCCCAGGGGAGCTGCGCTGAGAGAGGGGTCTTTTCTCTATGGTGGCAGATGCCTGAGGAAGGTCTTTAACACCAAGGAGAAGGGCAGCTGCGTGAAGGATAAGGAACGTGTGTTAGGGTTCCGCAGGGCTTTACCCAGCACCCTGGGGCGCGTTGAGCTGGTGGGGACAGCGGGGGGCGGCCCTCCCTGAGTGCCACCCCCCGGGGAAGGGAGGAGCACCCGGCAGCCGTGCAGCTCGCCAGCATCTTTCCCCGTGAATGCATTTTTACTTCCTCTCTTGGCTCAGAGTCTCTTACGGAGTTTTTCTTGCTATCATTTTATTTTGGTGGCTCAGGTTACAGTGATCGTTTCAGGGCCAAAAGGCTGGATTTCATCAGCTCAGGATGCAGGTATTTCGCCAGTGAGAAGTTGGGGGGCCCCGGCTGACTCTCCGGTGACAGCCGGGAGCTAGTACATGGCGACACCGGGGTCCCTTGCTTCTGAGCGCCGCTCCCACCCGCGTGTTCAAATACCGCTGCCCTGCGCGGGGCTGGCCAGGACCCTGTAGGGACCCAACAGCAGCTCCGTTCGGCTGTCATACTGAGGTTTTCCTTTACGTCTAGAGACTTTGTCTTTGGGGGTCTGGGCAGAGAAGCAAATCCTTTTCCATTAAACCACATACTTCCTTTTTCCATGTGATTTTATGTGTCCTCTCTCGTGTGAGCTCTCATTGGTTTGGGTGTTGTTTGGGGAAAAAAGGGAAGAAACAAAAAGAGGTGGTTTTTTTTCCTGAACACCTGAGCCTGGGGCCAGTTTCAGAGCACGGTGTAAAACCCTGTCCCTCCCACCGTGACCGGTGTTCTAGAAAGGAAGGAAAGTCGGCTAGCTCAGCCTGCACGTCGCATTGTTCCAGGACAGTCCGGCGTCACCACACGGCGGGTCCAGTGCCCTTTGCCCCAAATCTGCGCGTTTGTGTGTCTGTGTCCACACTACACGTGCGTACACGTGTGCATCTGTGTGGCTGCGTGTACACCCGTGTATGTGTGTGGTCTCTGTGTGTGCATGTGGGATATCCGTGTGCGTGTGCGCGTGCACGCAGGGCCTCGGGGCGGGCCCCGTCTGCCCCTTGGCTCTCGGGTCGGGCAGGGCTGGGGGGAGGCCGAGGCCGTGGGGCGACTCTAACCTGCCCTCGCTGTCTGCCAGGACCTGTGCCGGCAACGCATGGCCGTGCGCCCGGAGGCCCCGCACGCGTCCCGCATCAACAGCGTCTCGTCCCAGTTCAGCGACGGGCCGATGCCCAGCCCATCCGCACGGAGCAGCACGTCGTCCTGGTCCGAGGAGCCCGTGCAGTCCAATATGGACATCTCCACCGGCCACATGGTCCTGGTAAGGCCCGAGGTCCTCTCCGTCGGGAATCACGGCTCAGACCGTCTGTGGGAGGGGAGCGAGAGCCGGGTGGGGAGGGGGCACTCACAGCGCCCCTCCCACCCACGCACACGGCCCGGGATTCCCGCCACACACCCAAGGCCGACCTGGTCGGGCAGCTGACCGGCAGGGTGAAAGCCCAGCGTCAGGGCGCCGCCGACTCCATCCTCCCAGTTAAGTGAGGTGAGCAAGTGCACCCACACACATGCCTAACCACGCGAGGGATTCTGCCCCGGGCACTCTGTTTTCACTGGTGGAATGCGCATCGGCGAGCACCTGCTGTATCGTTCAGCCCCCGACCAGGAGACCGTCGTGGCGTCTTCCCTCCGTTGCGGATCACACGGCGCGGTCTGGGGAGTCAGACGTCCCTCACTTGCTGCTTGTACTTGACGGTGACGGGGGCAGAGGTGGGGGCTCAGAGCGCTTCTGGGGGGGCCCTGCTGTAGACACTTGCTCCTGCCTGTCCGGCTCCCTGTCCTGTCTTCCCCAGACCCAGTGTCGTCCTTGGAGGGCCGCACGTGCAGGGGCGATGTGCTGCCCTGCGATGCGTGCCTGATGTCTGACTTTACTAAGAGAGACGTTCATAATTCACCCTGTTTACCGCTGTCTCCTGAAGGCAGAAGAACACCGTGCTCCTGGACCCTCAGGCCGCACGCGTCCGCTGCTTCGTGCTTGCAGAGCTAAAGCAGCAGGCTGTTGGCCGTGACTCTCCTGGAGACAGAGTGTTCGGAGATGGCAGGCAGAGCCCATCTCGCGGCTCCGTGACGCGGAGGCAACATTCCCCTCCAGTCTGTGTCCCAAGTGTCAATGTGGGACAGGCTCCAAGGGTCATGTTTGTGGTCTTTAAACATTTATTTTTTTGTGGAAAGTTTCCTTATATGTTTATTTACCGACAATATAAGCTGGTGAAATTGGACCACAGCCCCCAGCGGCTTAGTCCACTTAGGCCGCCATAAGGAACCACCGCAAACTGGCGGCTTTAACAGCAGAAACAGGCTTCCTATCGTCCTGGAGGCTGGAGCCCAAGATCCAGGAGCCACAGCAGCGTGGGAATCTGGTGAGGCCCCTTCCCTGTTCTGAGCTCGCACCGTCTCGCCACGTCCACCTGCCCCTTCCCACGTTCCCACACCACAGCCGCCAGAGAATTCCTTCACGGTTCCCTGCCCGGCCTCTGCTCTCACGGCCTGTGCACAGTCGACCTGCGTGTGTGTGCGGGGGGCAGCTCTGAGCACTTTCTGCTCGTGCAGGAGGCCTGACTCTCTGTCCTCTGACCCCACATGACAGACGGGCTCAGGAGCTCTGTCCACCCCATGCTCATCTTCATCCCAAGCACTTCCGCTGGTGCAGAGCCCAGAGGCCTGGAGCCAACAGCATAAGCGAACAACTCAGCATTTTTACAAAAGCTCTCACCCACTAAGGGACTCACCTTTTAGGCCCTGACACTAGTCCATTCTCACGGGGCAGGCCTCAGAGCATGCCGTGGTTAGAACGGAGTCCCGGGCAGCAGGAAGTGGTACTCTCCTTACTGGTTCACGAAGGGCCCCCTCCCTCCGTAGCACAGCCGGTAGAAACCTGCGCATGTCACAACCTCAGAACGTGCCGGAATGCCTGACCTTCTAATTCATTAAGGCGACAAGGAAGATAATTCTCGGGTGATCATCAGCCCGACCCTCCGTGAGGAAACTTTCATGTTTATCAGACAGCTACATGATGATCTTCCTGAACTACATGCTAAGGATTCAAAGACCATCAGATAAATTATGCGAGGTCCAGGCACATCCCAGGAACCAGCTGCTCCACGAGTGTGCCATGCAGATGCGACGTCTGAACTTACGGGTGTGATGGAATCCACGGCAAGGCTGTTTACCTCTGGACAACAGGGCGGAAGCAAGGAGCACCCCACAAAGTCAGGAGGGAGTTGGCCAAGTTACCGCGGCCAGGGTGCAAGATGGGAGCGCTGTCTTCAGCAGAGGATGGAGAGAGTGTTTGAAGCAATCAGTGGCATGGGAAGTTAAATAGCCAGATGTTGACCCCTCACTCCACAGTACTGGCAGGAGCGGCTGACCTGGGAGCGGGGCTGATCTAGAACCTGGGGGCAGGGCTCACCTACAGTGGAAGCTGACCTGGGGGCGGGGCTGATCTAGAACCTGGGGGCGGGGCTGACCTACAGTGGAGCTGACCTGGGGGCGGGGCTGATCTAGAACCTGGGGGCGGGGCTGACCTACAGTGGAGCTGACCTGGGGGTGGGGCTGATCTAGAACCTGGGGGCGGGGCTGACCTACAGTGGAGCTGACCTGGGGGGGGGGGGCTGATCTAGAACCTGGGGGCGGGGCTGACCTGGAAAGCAGGTTGACCTAGGGTGAAGCTCACCTGGGGGCAGAGCCCTCAGACCCCAGCCTCCTTGGATCTGGTCACTCTCCACAGTAGAGTTCTGGGCTACCTGTGCAAGGCACTGTGATCTCCTGCCTGGAAGCTATAGGAATAGAATTCTAGAAATAAGTGCTCCACCTAGCAAGCAACAGGACCCTCAGAGAGGAAACAAGTGGCCCAGGGCTTTGCATGAAAGAAGGACTTTGCTGATGGGGGGTCAGGAGTGGGGGTCACAGGCTATTACTCCATGGTGACACCACTGATGAAACTAGGCACTCATTCCCGGGCAGCCTTCATGGGGAAGAGGCTGAGCCCCACATGCCCAAGGGGAGGGCCTGACTAATACCCCTGGTCAAGGGGCCCAGGGTTGGTCAACAACCCCCCAAGAAGTGACTCAGGGGAGCATGTGTTGACCGAGGCCTGGAGACACCACGGGGTCAGGATGTGAGAGGAGAGGCCAGGGCAGGGAACCACGAAGGAATTCTCTGGCTCCTCCCAGGAGCTGGTCTTCCTGCGCAGACCCGGGGCATCAGAGCTACCCTGCTGGGACCCCGAGGGGTCCGCTCGAGAACGGAGTCCTGGGAGGCCAAGTTCATGGACCCCACCCTTCAGTGAGCAGAGGGAGAGGGCAGTGGATCTGGGTCGGACATGGTCCTGGAGCCGTGGGGAGTGCAGGGCCAGGTAGGGAGTGGGGACGCTGTGCATTTGCAAGAGGCATGGGACAGCTGGGAGCAGGACCATGAGGAGGCACCTGCATCAGGAACCTGGCAGGTTTCTGAAGAAATGTTTGCATGGGAGCTTGGCAGTGTTGAATGAGGGCTAAGTGCAGAACTCCAAGAAACACGGGACCCCGTGAAGCTGACCTTATGAAACTGTTAGAAACATCGTCACATCTTGAGTATGTGAGGGGAGAATGCTGTGGGTAAGGTCAAGAATCACCTTTGAATTTAGTTTTTAAAGAGGTCTGTTTCCATATCACATTTGCCTCAGAAGTTGAGCATGGCTGCTTTGTAGATGCCGAGAGCAGGTCACTGTCCTGAGAGTCACTGATAGCCACGAGCCTGCCGTGAAGCAGGTATGAGAGCACATGCAGGGGGAGGAGCCGCGAGCAGCCGTGAGGGCACGTCTGCCCCATCTACAGCACTCTCCTTCACTTCTCTCCTGAGTTCAGGGAGTGTGGACATTGGGAAAAAGCTGGCCTAATGCTGTCTCCATTATGATATAAGGAATTGAGAACGTAATTCAGGAAAACAGTGCTGAATAGCCTCTTAAAAATACATCTGCATCCATGTCGAAGGTAAGGACTGTGACCCTTGCATCCCCTTTATCCTTGGAGACAATGAGGCAGGAATGAGCATCACTGACCGTTTGTGTAACAGCCACTGTCCAGAAGCCATGCAGTGGGAACTGATGTGTGCCCACTTCACAGACAAAGACCACAGGACGAGCGCTGTGAGAGTGAATGTCCCAGCACCAGGAATAAGGCAGAAAGGCCGCATGTCATCGAAAACAGAGGGAACGAGCTGCAGCAGGAGGTTTGGGGACCGAGGGCTGCAGAAGGCTTGCACGGGGCAGAGAACGTCGTGTCCGCCATGGGGGTGGCCCACGTGCTGGCAGAGCCCCGCCGCGCCCACCTCACCACCAGCACCCTCCTCCTGCGTGCCCCGCATTCATTCTGGAGCCTTGACTTCCAACGTCTGCACTTTGAGTGGCAGCTCCTCTGACCATTCCTGTCCCACCAGTCTCCTCGGCTTAACGCTCCTTCATATTTGGATGGCACGAGTCATTGCTCACCTAGGAAGGCTGGCTGGAGAGGCTCGGACGCTGGGCTGGCGTGGCGGAGCGGGAGCCCATGGGGCTGCTGGCATGGCCTTGGGCACCTTCATCCTGAAAACCAGTACATCCTAGTCTTTCTGAAAGGACACGGTTCCATGGCATTCCATCCCTGGCCCTGCTCTCTGAGGCCGGGCGAGCACCCATGGCACCGTGGCGGCCATCCTCATGGTGAGGGGACCAGCCCCTCCCCCAGAGCCAACACTATTTGTAGGTTTTTCTGTGACAGATAAGTAGTAGCTACTCAGAACCGAACACCGTCCTTCACCTGACACGGTGTCTGAGACATGGCTCCATGGGAGCATCCGTGACTCAATTCTGCTCATCTTCACAGACCCATGTTTTTCTGTTATTCCATGTACTATAACATATTTATTTTATACTGCTCAGGGTGATTTATGCAATTTTCAAATTTTGCCACTTCAAACAGCATATGTGAAAATAATTGTAGGCTAAATTTCTAGAAGACCCTAGAGGAGGATGCCTTTCATTTATTTTGAGAGGTATAAGCAAACTTCCTGCCAAAATGTTGGACTAACTGACACTCCCACCAACTATGTGGAAAATGGTGCCTGTGTCCCCAGACCCTCCTCAGCCCTGGGTACTGGCCACCCTTCATCTTTGCCACTGGTATGTGGAAAATGCTATTTTAAGGCAATTTTTGTTTACATTTCTCTTGTGCATAAGATTGAGCAACTTTTCCTACATTTGGGAGCTATTTATCCTTCCTTCCAAGAATGGCCTCAGAAGTATCCCTC